ATGAAGTCGCATCAATGCGCAAATCAACGGGCAAGAGGGTCCCTATTTCTCGGGTTGTGGGCCGTTTTCTTGTTGTTTCTTCTTTCGTGTATCACTGACTAGGACTAACGTTAATTTCCTATGAGCTGCCTTTTCATCGTAAAATCCGCCTTCAAAGGAAGCGATTACGATAAAGAGGGGCGCATCGGGAAGCATATGCACCACACGAAGCAGTTACTTGGCTGCCAAGGGAAGCGAGGTGTGGCGCTTTCACGACGAAAGGTGCGCTGGTTGCTGAGCAGGACTTCGAAAGCACTCCGCCCCAAAAGCGCTTTGTTTAATTGTGATTTGGACGAGCTGAGCAGCTCTATTGGAGCATGGATTGGCATAAATACTTTACCAGAAATAGGAAAAGCTATTGGCCCAAAATAAAGTCGGAAATTTTCCGCAATGTCAAAGCACATAGTCAACCGCTTTCAAATCCCAGCCAGAGTCTTAGTAGGCCCTCAGCAGGCTCACATGGCCGGCGTTTATGAGGCTGAGCAATGGTGGGTTTGAAGCAATACCAAAGCACGATTTCAAAGGTCTTAACCTGCTTCACTTGCGGTCAGGGTGAATATCGCTTGAGGATTCCTCAACGGCACGTCGAGGATTTTGCCTGATCCTTTACGTTCTCCGCGCGGATATTCACTCTCGCCACCCGCGAGCCGTCTGTGCTCTCCGCGCGTACATTCACTCTCGGCACTACTCTCGCACAGCAGAGAGCCATGGTCGAGGAATTTCCTCGACCGTTATTCACCCTGCTTGCGATACCGTAAAATGCGGTAACCTCAAGCTCATGGGCATGCAAAAAAAAACAAAGCCCTTCCTAAAGCCCTGTTCCCTTGTGATTCCCAAGTAGGTTTCAGCAACTCTTATCAGTATCGTAATTCGCCAAATTGGCTAATACAATTTTTCATTCCTGAAAGCTCACTTACTGTGACTATCGGCAGCTATGAGTGAAAAGCTCTCGGCAGCTTTCCCTCATGTTTGCTTCTTCTTACAATTAATCACAGCTTGGTCCATAATGGTATAAGTTCGCGTATTAAATATCAAACCGTTCTCTCCTTTTGATCCCTTTTCATTTTATTGGGAAGCTCTCACCACTGACAAACGCTCAGAGCCACCCCTTCACCAGAAGGAATCTTATTCATGTACTTTTCGTTGGGAACGGCTATTAAACTACGCTCTCATAGAAGTTCTGCTTATGGGATTAGTAGAAAGATCTGTCCGAATTCAGCATGAATATTCTGCTGGAAACGAGCTAATCTTGCGCTATTTCAGCCTGGAGAACGTTGACGATGCGACAAGAAATCTCTGTTTCTGCAATTATGGTGGAGACGTATGCGATTCAAACAACACCTGCATAAAGCACACCCATGCGGCATGCTTCCATTTCATGAAGGAGGTACTTCATTGTAGAGTAATCCTACTGTATATAATCGGCTAAGTGTGTCTGTTGGTGTGTGTGTGTTTGACCGAAAATTCGTAGCTCGATTAACAACTGTGATAGCGCAAGTGATAGTGATAGGAACTGATAACGACTGATAATAGCTGATAAGAGGGGCTAGAAAGCGAGCATCGCCAATTTCGTTTTGTCGTTCATATTGGTACTAGAGCGTCTATACTTACAAGTGTTATGTGGGGCGGTCCGGGGACATTGGTGGTACATGATTGGAAGCGATAGCAACTGATAAGGGCTGGTATTTCTGTATAGCGTTGATATGACGGCTGCTTTTGTAACCTTTGGAGTGAAGGTGAAAAATTCCCGAAATCTTTGTAAAGGGAAGGGATGCAACTTGAATGAAACACATATTTATGAACACTTGAAACACTATATTTTGCATTTAAACGAATACACTTTGCGAGAACATTGATTTAGCCTAAAAAAAATAGGGTCTGGGGGTTGCATCGGGACAAGGTGCTCGCAGCAAGACCTGAAAGAAGGTGACTCGATAAAATGGATGACGAAGAAGAGGAACTTGCCCTTCATAAAGGGGGGTTGGGTTCCTAATGGAGGGAGAGGTGGTATGGAAAATGTGGAACTAACCTGGGGCCGTAAGGTATGCTTCCCCGAATGGTTGCGGGGACGAAAGTCCCTTTAAATTTTTTCGGAACGATACTGTTTCTTCTTTTCAATGCATGCTTACTTTAAGCTACACACATATATTAATGTAGGCCCTTTATCAGGACAATCCCAGTTGGGACACAGAGAAAATTTAAAGGGAACGTCCCCAACCCTCCGGGGAAGCATACTTTACGGCCCTGCTGTCTGCGCATGCCCTGCCAACACGCTTTCATTATCCCATCAATGATCACTAGTTATCGAGGTAGTGACAGTGGCAAGGACTCAAAGGAACACTCCGAGCAGAAGTCACGTCGAAAAATCTATTCAGTGTGGGATGGAGTAGCCCACGAGTGTCACAGATGTGCCGCTTTTCCGGCCTGAAGGACGCGACATGGCGCTAAGGTCTTAAAAGTCAGCATTTGGCGACTAATCTTAGCATTTGGACGAGTTACGTAGCGCACATCCATGACACGCAACGTGGATTACGGCGTAGCGGCTAATTCAAATGGCGCGGGTTAGTTGAGCCGTGGAGCAGGCAACTTTGTACAACTCGTCTGGCCCCGCCCCTTTCTTATTTCGAGGGTTTTGTGTTTCAAATATTCATCGACGGTTTTCTTTACGTCTTTGTTTCATTTTTATTCAACCCGGTACCCACAGCTTGAATTATCAACCGCTGTGACCCCACTAATCCGATCTGGTGGGTTCCGTTAATCGAACTGCACAACGAAACTGCTAGATTCGTTTCTTACCACTAGTACAATGACAGGAGCGCTAGCGCCATTATTGGCGTTCTTTTTTCATGACATTTATCACTACTGCAGATATTCATCCTCATGTGTTTTCTTGACAGTCGCCTCGAACTTATGAAGCGCATAAGAGATAAAGCCAGTTGAGCCGATCCTTTTGCGGGTGGCGAAGGCGTTCATCATTTCCAATTTATACATTCGTACTTTTGATGAGATTCGCCTATATAATGAACTTGCGGGGCAGGCAAATGTACGAGTCAAGTGTGTTTATCATCTCACAATCAGACAAGCCTGGTACCAATCAACCGATCGGAGGGAAGGCTCGGACCACGCACGACCCAGGATTCGATTCTCAGACCGCGCGCGCGTGGTAAGCGCGTCACTTGCCACTACATCGCTGCCGAGCCAATCTTATCAGGTGTCAATAAGCAAGAGAAATGGATCGGTTGTCAGATTTTTACTTAATAATATAGTTTTTACCATTAACAAACGTTACTAATAACCTTGCGATACATCTTATTCAAGGAAGAAGGGGGGGGATTAATACTCATTTAAGAAGGTTTTTTTTTGTCATGGAAAGCAAGATATTGGCTCTTTTTGTGTTCAGGTGTTCAATGCCGAGTTGAGGCGCATGGAGACGGTACATCAGTACGGCTGCGCCACTCTGGAAAAAGGCAGCTCGGCGTCACATCTCACCGTAATTCTGTTGAAGTAATCATAACTACCGTACCTTTTGATACTTGCTGTGATTTAGTGTAACTCATTTCGTTCCCCTCATCGAACACCAAAGAGCATCGCGTGCTGTTACGAGGGTAATTACTGTAACCTGCGAATCGAACCTCCACCGTACCATCAGCTGCCTAAGGAAATCGGTACTTTTTCGGCATAGCTTCAGCCATTTCTCCACGAAAAATGTTCTCCATGCAGAGTTCTACGACGACGAGCATGGCTTCAACACAAATCTCAATACCAGCACGTTACGTGATTGATTCCGCTGGTCATGCAACTGTGCATTATCGCTGGAGTTTGTCTCCTTCAATATTTCCAGAAACGCCATGCAGAGTTCAGGAAATGGCTTCCGCTAGGTGAGTTTGAGAAAAGTTTTTCGGAGTTGTAGTTTTTAGTTGTGGATCGTGTCTTGTGCCGGTCATTTTACTGTCTATATTGTTCATTATTATTTTACTCATTCATTTGCTCCAGGTTTGTTGATCATTCGATGGGTTTGTGTAGGAGGCAGAGTGAATTGCCTGTTTTCTGGGAATTGTATTAAGACAAATAGCGACTCCTGTTACGCGCTTATGTTTCGCTGCTGCTAGCTCCCTATAGCCGGCGTAATGTGACCTTACAGATTCTGAGACTTCTCTGAAAATAAGGGAATATGAATAAGAATCAGGGTGAACCGTGCCCTGAGCAGTGATTAAGGAGAGGTGGGTATTTTGAAGAGAGGTCGTGCTTCTGATTTTTATGAGTTTGGTTGTGATTAGGGGGCGGGGGCCGTATTTGATTTTTCGTGTGAATAGAGGGGGTCGTATTTAACGGTTACTTTCGCTAAGAATTTTATGGCCATGAGATAGACGACAATTAGAGATTTGTACTTTCAGAGTCACATTTTCAACACATTATCTGGTATATGCCGCATCATTCCTGGTTCCATTCTCGACGGCAATTTTATTGGATCTAGATTTTGGCCCAGATAGAATATGTCGACTTGGAGTGGTGGGTGGGGCGAGGGGCATGGAGGCCAGCAGTGATGAGAAGGACTCGTGTGAAAGATAACTCTCAAGGTTTGGCTGGTGGTGATGCAAGTCGGGCAAGTCAAATACCCTTGAAAGCCGTCGTAAAAATTTTGAAGTTTCGCTGCAACGCTCTACGGCTACCTCTAGCTGGAATAGATGTGTGTTGGCTTGGCAGGCCATCTTCATAGGCTGCACACTCACGGAGTGTAGACGTAACCAAAAATGATCGCTGTTTTTAACACATACCAACTCCGTCCATTAACTAAGCATTGAAGTTCTCCGTTGCACTGTCTTGAACTACAAAATTACAGTTTCGATTCATTCGTGAAACTCGATATCTCTGAATTATCGAAACATTAGGTTTCCAGTGAACAAACAGAAGAATGAGAAGGAATCACCATCGACGCCCGAACTCGAGCCGATGGTTCACGACGATTCAGGGTCAGTTCTTTTCGCATCACGGCTGTTTACGATAATTCGATTAGACATCACAATTCCACGGCAAGAAAGGCCATTTCGCACTCTGACAACACTGTCAATAAAATCTACTAGGAAATAAGTTGCTAAATGGGAGGGAGTTTAACTGAGTTGAACTTGATGGTAACTCAACGAAAAAAGTCGTCAACGTGCCTTGCGAGAAAATCGTAGGCAGCTCTGACATTCTAAATTTTGCTGCAGAACTGCTTAACTCTCATCGATGACGACAAAATCGATATCTTTGCAGTTTTCGATATATATAGTTCCTTGAAGATGTTTTCAACGCCTCTAGAATTTCCTGCATGACAATTACAGCTTTTGAAACGCGTTACACCTTACTCCTGGTCTCGCGCTCTAGAAAAATGATTCAGTGAAAGCCACGTGCGTCAAAAAGCCGAAATCTTATGCGGACACTCGAAGCACGGACCATTACTCCATCCTCATCACCCTCTTGAGATTGCAGTTATATTATGACCGTTACTGCTGAAATGGCTCATGACTAAATAAATCTGTGACATCATGTTCCGAGTTATATAAGGCACTTTATACATGCTCGGCTTTCGTTATTGTCAATTTCACATGTACATAACATGCACTTATTTTTTCAATTCTTTCAGAAGTGGTTCGGGTTCTGGAAATGCGGCTATGGTGCAACGGACAGTTGCCAATGATCTCATCATCGAAAAAATCATCGGAAAGGGCAGGTTCGATTTCATCACTGGTTGCGGTGGTTTTTTATGCGATTTGATTTACTGTCAATCATTTAAGATTATGGAGAAGCTCGATCTGGGCAAGGTTCCGAGGGAGTCTTGTGGCCGTCAAGGTTAGTGAATTTTTCATACGTTATGGCTAGATGTTCCAGCTAATTTGTGAGTGTTTAGACTTTCTACACAACTGAGGAAGATTCATGGAACAACGAGCGGGAGATCTACGAGACGCAAATGCTCAATCATGAGAACATACTGCGTGAGTTTACTATGCAACAGCATTCTTGAAGGAGGATTCCACGGCCTGGTGGGAAGACATGCGGACCCACGTCGAGGGTGCGAAAGGCCATATGGCAGCGAAGATTTACCTCGACGACCAATAGCACGGCTCTCTCTTAGCGCAGGTTAGTGCTTGAGCCTATCTGCGACTATCTATCATGGCGTACGGTACTTTACACCGCACGTGATCGGAGATTATCAGAGAGAGCATTAATGTGAGAGGCATAACACGCGAGGCGCAATCAATGACGGGAAATCGACTGGCAAGGAAGGGGTTCCATTTCTCGGGTTCTGAGCCGTTTCTCATGGTTTTTCCTCCTTCTTGTACCGCTCACCATTCACATCTTGATTTGAAACCAGTCCCTTTTTTATCGTTAGCTCTGCCTTTAGTTACAACCGCCAGAAAGACGTTTATTGAAGCGCAAGACCCACAATACGATCGGACGTTGGAAGAAGTTAAAATAACCTAGTGGGAATCTCAGCCAAGGGGATTTCAGCGATCTGGCGGTCTGTACGCAAAGCGATGCGCGTATCGCAGCGAAGATCAAGCGCTTATGGTTAGCGGCGTAGCAGGGCCGTACATGCGCCGCTCGCGCCTCTGCACGCCCACTGATAGATAACCCACTGCCGTCTGACTCCAGCAGTTCAGCAGAGAGAGCATTAATGATGGGGAGGGTAGCATCGATTAGAGTCGCATCAATGCAGAAGTCAGCGGGCAGTGAAGGGGTACAATTTCTTCGGTTTTGAGCGCTTCTCAAATGACTTTCCCGTCTCCGCTGCCCACTACAGAGCACTACTAGCTGATTTATCGGGCTGTCTTCCAACTCCAAGCTCGCTTTTAAAGTGAATTCTTTGCGAATGCCTCGTACATTTGGCTCCAAACGCATGATTTGGGAATGTCCACAGTCAAATCAACGCAGTTGGAATAATATTTGCCTTCTTCGAGAAGCCCAGCCCCTTCCTCCTGATTGGGGTCTAGTGAATATCCGCCCCGCCTTAACATATCGACAATTGCACTCAGGATGTTCTCTACATCATGTTGTTAGTACAGATTCCACAAACTAGACTTATTCATAGAACCGTTGTCCTTTGGTTATCCGTTCCTGCAGCGTTAGGACAAATAGCCTACCTTTGCTGGTTGCACTGGAAGTATGATAGAAAGGGAGACAGAAAGCAGCGAGACAGTAGTGAAAGTACGTGTTCGTTCAGAGTATGTCGCTGCCGATATCTTCAGTATGGACTCATTTACTCAAATGATACTGGTTACTGATTATCATCCACTTGGATCTTTATACGATTACCTTCAACAGGAGCAAGCACTGACCACTCAAGAAGCACTACAACTGGCTTACAGGTTTGAAACGTTTTCCCACTGATTTTGTGCTGGAAATTCACATACCTACTTCCGCTTTTGTGGCAAACAAATGCATTCTCAGCTTTTGTAGTGAATCTTTTCGAGCTTGAATCCATCTTGATATTTGCAAATTTCGTCAATTTTCAACAGAAATCACTGTTTTCATTTCGTCATTTCTGCGGCATTCGTTCCAAATCAAATGGGATTCTTTCAGGGAACTTTTTTCCAAAATATCTATTTTCAGCTCCATCTGTGGTATCGAGCATCTCCACGCTTCCGTGATCGGAACAGGAAGCCGACGAAAGCCACAAATCGCTCACCGAGACATCAAATCAAAGAATATCATAGTCAAGCGTCCCGGAATGTGCTGCATGGCCGATTTTGGTCTGGCCGTTAGATTGTAAGTATACGAGCATTCCTAAATATGTGGAGCTGATGGGAAACCCCTCGAGGGAGGGGAAGTGAAATGCAGCCGACTGATGTTCGTCACTTCAGTAGACGAGCGTATAAACGGAATTAGTTCTTTGCTTATTATAGAGCACTGCATGAACAACTTTTAGTTCTGGATGCGCGCCGGCTTTTTTCCAGTTCCTCTAATTCAAGCTGCCTTACACGAAAGCATTCTGCAGCAGGCGGCCAATTCCATGAGGTCCTCGTATTCATCTCTAATAAATACATCGTGACGATTTCTGGGATTCCGTCGGAACATTTTCCTGGTACTAACTCACTTCTCCGGTTCCGCCTATTTTCCCTTATGTAGCTATTCACTCAGATTTTGCAGTATTTGTTTGTCTTATGCTGCGGCAGTGCCTCATTGACAAGATATTTACTTGGGTGGGGCATAGTACCGGGCACCAAAGGCGTTTCAGGGCGTTGCAGTAACCCCGATGCTTTCTTAATACTATAAGCGTCGCTTATTCCATGTTACTTACACATGAAGGCAGCGCTTTCCAGTGCATAGATGATTCACTGGTGAATGCTCGCCTTCCTGGTGCACTGGTGACCGGGTTCGTTTCCTAGCCAATCCACCAGAATTTGCTTTCATGTGCCTTGAGCACTCTCTGCCCCG